AAATGCTTGCAAGCGAAAGTGAAGCCAAGGCTTTTCACAAACAGTCTAAGTTTACTTAACACGACTTAACATTGTCTAGGTTGCATTATGTAAGTGTTCGTGTGACTGCGAGGAACGGTAACATGGTTCCTTAGCAGGTCACATTGGTGCGAATGACATCAGTCGCTGTCAAGTGCATAGGAGTCAACGAACAGGATTTAGCATTGCGTATGCAATAGACGCATCGTAGCCTTGACTTCCTCCAGTAACTGGCATGGCTCGCAGCCAGAACCATTCACTGACCCACTACGCGTCTTCGGAAACTCCTGTATTACTTTGCTTAATAATAAGCTATAAATTTGAGCTTGGACCAGAATAGCTCAGTATTAGCATGGCCGGCGCCCGCATACTCGATTCCGGTCACATTAAAGGTGAAGGCGTCCAAAGCGGAATGAGATGTCTAGGCGCGGCTGTCGTCTTATTATGTCGCAGCCGCAGTAATGCTGAACGAATGGCCGGTGCGACGTGGCCAGTTAAAGCTATGCAGCCGGCGTGTTAACCCTGCTATTATCTTTTAATACCATCGACTTCATTATTCGCTACATTTTTTTTGCGACCGCAGCGAGGTGCGGCTGGCTTCGCGAGTAGCCGACACGGGTTTGATAACCCGGAGACCTTGGTCTTAATTGCGCTTGCTCGGACCATTCCGCCGCGGCCACTTTTTATGCGCCTGCACATCGCTAGTAAAAACACGACAACGACGCCTACCCAGCCAGCTCTAAATGGTGCCATAACTCGTATAACACTGAACTGGTCGACAGCTCCTCAAACTCGTTGGTTTACCTCAAGTGCGCTCTACCGAGAAAGCCACACTTAGACATTCTGAATCCTTTGCAGATCTTACGATAAATCAGCTTTCTTGTTATTATGATCACGAAATGGCATAAGTTTCAAGTAGAAACAGACAGGGCAGCGCGAATAAACCATAAAAACTGAGATTATGTACGACTTTTTATTTAATTTTATTTGTTTTTTGTTTCAGGTAAGCACATAATGAACACGTAGAACTGAATACTACGAAACTCCTGTGAACATATTTAAGTAGATATATGTAAACTTCTGCGGAAGGTAGTAAGTAAAAATATATATTTCGTAAGTACTTGATGTTTTCCATCTTTCTCGCGAAAACCACAACAAAGGCTTGATGGCTTACAGCCAACTTTCGGCTATATTAATCATTCCTCGGTACGTAAAACTCGCCATTTATAAATCTGTACATACCAACTAATGATAGCTCAACATAAAAGAAAACAAAAGTTTTATTTATGTCGACGAATATCATTAAAAACTTGAATGGACCAACAAGATTACCAAAGTATTAGCCATTAGCGATCGATTTGTGTGATAACTATAAAAGGTTTTGATTAAAACAGAATTATAAATAAAATCCAATAAAATATAAAAGGAAATGAAGAAAACAAACTGAGCGCCTGAACAGGTAATGTTAACGAAAAAACCAGTGAACGTGACGTCACTGTGAAGTGACAAGTATTTATCTCTGGCAACCTTGAAACCAGCACTGAGATCGATCAATTTCATCTCTAATTTACATTTAATGGAAAAGTTAATAGCAAAAACTAGCAACACTCGACCAGCGCTAGCTAAGTACCTACCGGAATACAGACACAAGGCTGTATCGAATCGCGGCTGGAATACGTTTCAGACCATACAAGTTTTTCTGCAGTAAACTAAAGAGATATCGTAATCTATACTCCTATGGTTTTGCAATTCTTGTCAATCGACGCTTACTGATGAGAAAATGGTAAAAAATATACATGCAGTATGTAATTAGCTCGCTTCAAAAGTAACTTCCTTATCTTTTATCTCGATTGGATTCGTATTGAAGTGGTAATGCCAGCTTTTCGAGCTCAACGAACAATGGGCTGCGGTGATTAATGGAGGATAATCCAGAAAATTATATTGCCACGAGACGATTGGAATTTAACGTCTGCATTGAATATATGGACATTAAACGATACCATAGTTCCTAAAGTGTTACAGGTTTATGAACTTGTGAAAGACGGGAAAGCTAAGTAAACTATTGTAGAAGTTCACCAAGAGACCATGTAAATGCTAACAACTCGCTGAGGCCACATTAACCTGATTTCCCCCTTCACAACTTTACAGTGGCAGCAATTTACATAGGTGCGAGGAATGAGGCTAGTAATCCTAACCAGAGCTGGAATGCTACAATCAGTGCCAAACAACTGCTCGGAAACCATTTGGCTGTAGCGCGGCTTAAAGTTGATAAACTTGTACCTACTTACAATGTTCATATATGCGTATATTGTGGAACTGGTACTCGTACAAGGACCTACTGTAATGTTTAATGTTTTCAAAGGATCGTGGTGCTTACGTAAATGGATTAATTAGGATTATATTATATATCTGATAATTATGACTAATGCTAAGGCTTAATTAAGTAAGACTTTTTGATAAAATGAATTCAGACCTTCCTTCAAAAGCAATACAAGGTTCTACAGCCTTCCAACTCTTAGTATCTCACTGAAACAATATAGAAAGACCTTTTCATTCATTCTCAGAGCTATCTAAATTATTTTAAATAGGCCGATGTTCTATCTATATCAATTGGTCTGCAAGGTTGCTACAATTTGGCAAAGAGGACGATCTGGGGGGAGGGAGGTACAGGAACCAATCGAGCATTCGAGCATTTTACTGCACGCACGATTGAAGCTCACGACTCCACTGTACAAACACTTTGCACGGTACAGACAAGGAAAAAAGACTTCAGACCTTCGTGATTTTTATTTGTTTTCTAAATAAGGTGGCGGCTACCTCGGGTATGAGTATTTAGTATGTTCGTTTTTCATTTTGGTTAAACGAAGCCTCCACAATGGGACATGGTTTCCCTGTATCAGTTTTATGTTCGATAAATGTATAAATACCTATTGTCAAGTGTATATATACTTTACTAGAAATATTTACTTAAAATACATCTGAGATATTCTCGTAAAATGTTAAAACTTATTATTGTTTTTTCTAATGTCACTGCTGTACACAAGTGTACAAAAACATGACGAAATGTTTTAAATCGCATAGCTACAAACAAAATGGTTTGTCATTTAGCAATCCACGGTAGACGCTTTGTAATCGGATGTAAAAAGATAAAAATGAAAACGCTGATAGAAAACATTACTTTGTTGAGGTAACTCTGATATAAGGCTGTTAATGGCGAGAAGCAACTCGTTTTGCTTTTTGAAAGGAAACTATGATGTTTGGTAATAATCCATGTTACGAGTTAGGACTCATAAATTATCATTCCGATTGGACGTGAATACGAATAAATACTCGTAAAAACGTTTTTTGTCTTATTGTAATAGCTCTGAATCGAAGGAAACGCCTCAGGCTGGAACTGGGCTCTTCCTACTCAAGAATAAGAATGTTGAATCATACTAAAAATTCGGTAGCTATTCCAGATATTTTCGAATTAGCCTAGCCGTATATCTTTTTAAAAATACATCAATAACAAGAAGTAGACAAATCGCCTGACACCTACATACGTGTTCGCTTACAGAATGGGTGCTAAACAAAAATAATAAATTATTAATTTTCTACATAGAGTATGCAGATCAATAGTTTTTTATTGCATGACGGATACACTGGATACTGCGATGGCGGTGTATTTCCAAAACATGGCGGGTCAATGCTCTGCGCGGACACGTGATGCTGTGACGCTAAACAGCGAACGCCACAATCATGGCTCACTCGTCATTCTTACTTCTAATCTAATCTAGCCGGTGACGATACCCAAACAAATCGTTATACATCGTTGCTCACACGAAAACACGCTACAAACCAAACGGAACACGCAACGAAATGTAATCTTAACACACCGATGTTATCGCCGTACTCGGGTAAATAAAAGCCATCGCCACACCTTCATAGGTACAATCCTAGAGTCAGATAACCTGAATACTGCAATTTAGGCCGTCGTTCTATTTTTCGGTGGAGGACATCAGTAGTGATCCGTGTCAATGTGTCACATAGTCGCATGTGTGCCCAACAAAATAAGCAATCTAGGTTTGTAAACATCTATAACACAGGTATATAGTCACATACCTGTCTATACAATAAGCTGCATAATGCCGACCATAAATACCTACAGTCTAGTCATTAGAATCACACAAATGGATAAAGAACGAAGAATCTACGTGCTAGCATTTAAAATGCACTAGTGACTTTGAGGTTACATGGAGCTACATTTGCATGACATTATAATATTGCATAAGATCTGCTTTAATTACTTCAGTATTATAAAATATACACATACCTACTTATAAATAAATATAATAGGTATAGTGCAGTAGAACATTATATTACGAGATCAACATAACAGGTAGAGTAGGTAACCATTAGCCCATTCAATCGTGCAAAATAACTAGCGACACTAACGGATAAACAGGAAATCAGGAATGTTTACCATTAGATAATTTCACAAATAACTTTCTCAAGTTCAAAAGTTGCGTAACAAACAGCGAAGTTGTTTTGATAGAACGAGTCTTCATAAATTGAGGGTGTTTTATCGGCGCGCTACATTCTGTCGCCGGTGGCTTGACTTTCTGTGCCACGGTTGCGCGCGGGGGCCGGCGGGCGAGCAGTGCGGGGCGCGGGGTGCGTGACGTCACGCCGACCGTGGCAGTGAGTAGTGAGAGCGGCCGCGTCGCTGGTTCGCTCGCTCTACGTACTCCGCTGACGACGGTCGCGCGCGCGCAACGTACTCGTTTTTACTGCTCGAACGACGCGTTAACCCCGTCTCCACATCACCGGACGAACTCGTGGGACTCGCGTGCTCTTCTCACCTGTTGCTCGGATTGTGTTGTGACTAGAAAAAGTTGTCGCCGCTCTAACAAGACTTCCGAGTCCTATTGGATTGTTGCACGAAAGTCAAGACAGTGGATAGCAATTCGTTTCTGTTTGAACGTTGCGTAGACGAGTGGTGCATGTCCATAGAGTCGCGTTTAGATAGTTTAGTGCGAGGAAAAAGTGAAGTGAAAGCCTTTGCCGGAGGATGTCCCTCGGCGCTCTTGGATACCGGAGCGTGTGACACGCTCGCAGACATGAGACGACGCTGGTATAACAACGGAGGCTTCCAGACGCTGCGAATGCTCGAGGAGAGCTCGTCTGAAGTGACATCGTCTTCAGCGTTAGGTCTGCCTCCGGCTATGGTAATGTCCCCGGAATCGCTCGCGTCGCCAGAGTACGGCGGCCTGGAGCTGTGGGGCTATGAAGATGGCCTTACAACATATAGCATGGCACAGTCGCTGGGCTCTTGCACAATGGAGCAACAGCAGCAGCCGCAGCAGCAGCAACAGCCCCAGCAGACTCAGCCGTTGCCATCAATGCCGTTACCCATGCCACCGACAACACCGAAATCAGAAAATGAGTCGATGTCATCAGGTTAGTTGTAGTAAAACATACCTACTAAAATAATTATCAGGCAGAGTGTAGATTATTTTTGTTTTGAACGCGGTAACATGCGAAAAGTTCGCGTATTTTTTGGCGGCAAGCATAGCGCTCGGCCGCGAGTGAGCGAGCTGCGGCTGTCATCGACCTTTGGCCCGGATACCTTGACCGGCCGCTACGAGCCGATGTCTCCTTGCCCTTACAACAATCACAATCGTTTTGTTTACCTACATTCAGTCCAACGAATGGAAGGGTTATCATGTTTTGTAGTATTGTTGTAGCATTTAGATAACACGTCTGTGCATTTTATTAATGTATGTTTTATTGAAGCGAAGAGTTGTAGAAAGAAAAATTAGCCGCGCTTTATATTATAAAATATGTGATGGCGCGCATTATAGAAGTACGTATTTAACGAATAATATAGCAAGTATGTAGGTACGCAGCGATGTTGATTGCATTTTATTACACCACCATAACAATACGTTTGTATGTGCGAGTGTTCGTCTGAGTAATCTAGGAATGATCGACTGTGGGCGCACTGCTAAAAATACTTGAGTATCTATTTATGTTAGGTAGTACCTACATATCTAATAGGTACAAACGACAAATGCGTAGGTATGCATTAGCAACAGTGACATCCAGGTGCACTTTATTATGTGCTAATTTTATAAGGAAGTCGTTATTACTTAACGATACCAAAAATACTTGTAGTTCTACCTAGTTCTATGTTAAACTATTATGTTTTCCGCATATGGTTTCTAATATGCGTTAATTGTTGTAGCTTGTTCCTTGGTAAACAATAGTTTACAATTTACATCTTGCTAGGCATTCGATTAGCGTCCATAGGTGAGTGTAGGAGGATCAGTAGCAGTACTATACCTATGAGTAATTCTTATCGCTTTACATTCAAGGTTAACGTGGAAAATTTATGAGTTACCTATGTCGCTTGTGAAATGGGATTCTTTGCAAATTAACTATATAACAGCATTTCGTTAATTAATAAATGTTGAACTAGAACATCTTAATGTAAACCACAACATTAAAACGTTGATAATATAATTTTAATACATATTATCAATTACAAGTCTTATCAATTGTAATGACAGCATTGCATCTTTGTATGTTGTTGTGTATTATTATTATGATTGGCAAAATAAGTAAAAACTGCGTGCTTGATACAAAATAACTAATTTAATTAGCTTACAAATGATTCACTATGTAGTACGCTAATTATGCATTTATGTGATTTGTTTGGTTGTTTGAACCTAATTAAAATAGATATCAAAATTGACCTCGTAACTCAAATTGTATGTCACGTGTTTCAAAATCATAACATAGCATGCAAATTACGTCATTGTGCTGAGATGCATTTAATGATGATGATGACTAATCATAGCGACAATTGCATGACTAAACAAAACACTAAAATTACTTCAATATTTTACAGAAACGACAAAATACAAACTCGTAACTAATGCACAGGAAAGTGCGTCTAATGTTTATCTATCATCAATCGCCGAGGGAGGCAAATGAGGGAAGGATGGAGGGCCGCACCCTCTCACCCAAGTAAAATAATCTATTCTTATAACTAAGCCATTTACAAAAATAACGAGACACAAGGAATGTTCCAAAACAAAACTAAGTTCTTACGTTTGTAGAATTTATTGGATAAACATCTACTTAATATTCAGCGTATGCAACCATTGAAAACACAAGTTTGGATGTCCATTGGTCTCGAGAAAATATTTTAAAACATTTTGCTAACAAATGGCTGTACTAATTTTAGTAAAGAAAGTTATATTTTTGAACCCCATAGAGTAGAATAACTTTGCTAATCTCGGCAGCAGGTTACACGGAAAATAACTTAATAAAGAACGAACCTCGCAGCAGCGAGTGTTGAAATTATTTCAATTTGCTAAGAAATACTGTATTAAACAATTTAAGAGAGCTTGCAGTCGAGGTTCGTCGAAGCGACCACGGTCGTGCCGGTCCAACCGGTTTCAAGACTACTTCTGATGGTAAATCGCCTGACAAGGCACGTATGCACATGATATACTTTAACCAACTATATGTGAAGATGTTACCAATAAAAAGTCGGTAAAACCAAATTGTAAGATCTGACTGCGAAAGAAATCAATTCAATTTTACTTTAGTAGCCACTCAGTGTTTGTTTGAATGGTGGTTTCTTTATATCAATTTGTACCGCCACCCGTGTGCTTCAAAAGCTTTTGAATTGTATAAAAGCAAGATTCGATCATTCATTTCAATACAAAATAGTTTTAAAGACTGCATTAATACATTTTCTATACATTTGCAAAATATTTATTTCATTTTCAATTGTGATGATGACAGGGTATGATAATTTAAAATATAATTAGTCCGTCAGTTAGGTAATGAAAACATATTAGACACGTATTTTTTATTTTGTCGTATAATAAAACAATAATTAGATAAAACGAATCAAACTTTAGGAGTGGGGGCTAAAACGTCATTTCTACTTATAAAATGTACATAGAAGTGACGTCACGCGACATTTCAAATCAATACATCGTCGAAAGTATTCGTTTCTGTAAGCAAATAAAAAATACGTGTCTAATGATTTAAAATAATCTACAAGACGGACATTAAAATAAAAATTAGACATCTACCCTATTGGCTATTTGAGGTAAAAAGTCATTTTTTATTTACCCGTTTATCCGAGTACCAACGCACAATATTGGAGAAACACTTGCAGTAGTGTAAAATCGTCACCCCTTGCAGATTTCCACTTTCTTCGATGCGCGGCCATGCGATAAATTCAAGTTTCACGAACGTGGTACATATCTCGATAATTGCTTACGTTTCATAATTAATTAACTATTCAGATTCAGCTCTCTAGAAAATTAAGCAATATATACTATCAATCAACAGATGAACTTTGAAAAAGTAACTTTAGAATATACCTATAACCGATACCTAAAACAACGTGTCGTTGATTGATTGTCGAAAGATAAAGTTCCGTGGAGACCCTGCTAAATTAATATAAAAAAGTAGTTACCTATTAGAGACCGTAATGTTTAAAATCGGTATCTGTATACTCATTAACTTATTGAGATTTGAAAACCCCGAATGATGTGCATTGGTACATTATTCAAATGTCTTGTTAAGTAAGTACAAACTTGTGGTTAGATTACAATGTATGCTTTGCTATTTCGAGCTTGTCAGGGTCTTCCGAGCTTGGCGGAGCTTACTCAGTATCCTTCCTTGTCCTAAAGTATTTGATCATGCCCGTGTTAATTGGTACACACTGACGTCATGCATAATACTTCATTTTTTTAAAGATCATCTCTTTCCGTGGTTGAAAATCCGTACGCCTATGGCTGAAAATAATACCGATCGCTGACATTCGAATCTTAGGATTAAAAAATATTGAAGTCGATTAAACATAAACTGTATACCGTTTCTTTCAAAAACCTAAGACCATCCAGACAATTCGGATTAAGGTAACTAGGTTATTAATTTCGGCCGTTTAAGTCTATGATGAAGGTTCCATTTGCTATTGGTCTGTTAATGCTGCCAGACCAATGCCAGATGGTCAGTCACCCTCGTGTGACGAGCTGACGGGACTCCAAACCCTTCAATCAATTAAACAATTTTAGGGTACTAAGGGGTCTCTTTCTGTTCCAAATATTTCTTTCTTTCCCTCATTAAAGAATACTGAGAAATGTTATGGTAACACACCCGCATATAATAGTTATCTGTGATGTTACTATTATCCGAGGCTTTGGAGTCAGTTTTATTGACGCATTTACTTCAAATGACGCGTATGCGGGCCATTTTATTGTGGATGAATGTTTTACATCTTTCCAACTCCATTTTGTACATGTTCCGACCCCTGTTTTGTAGTTTGAAATATTACCTACAAGATTTAATATGCTCAAAAGAATTTATGTAAGAATGATTCATTTTATACCTCAGGGTAAAAAGTGTTGTTACTAAATTACATTTGAGCGAATAATAAGGCTGTACCTATATACTTCGTCATTATAGCTTTATAGCCCGGCCAATCCATCAAGATTTACATGCTCTGAAAAATAATCTAAGCTACTTTTCAAGTAACTACGTAGGTAACTCATTATTTTTCTGAATAATTTAATAACAATCGGTCAATGCCGTTATATCAAATTTTCAAGTAAAAACGTCCAGACACCAATTACTTAGTTTTTCATACCTATTGATTAATTGATGGTAGTTTTTAGTTGTTTCAAGTAGAAACATAAATTATTTCTAAATTAATTGAAATCTAATCTATGGTGTCTATGGTCTTAAACTAGCTTTAGTATTCAATAACAAGACAATTACTTCTCATTCCATTTTCAAATCTATAAAAATGAAGACTTTCATAAATTGCAAAATAAAAAGGTTGATTCTAAATAGGTTCATTGAATTCGTTGTAAAGACTTTTATTTAGTATTAGCCAAGTAATTTTTATTATAAGTCCATTAAGTAACAATACAGATTATATCCAAACAAGTAAGTAGGTAAAGGTACTTACACTTTTTTAAAGTTCATTTTGTAAAGTAAAATTAGTAGATCAAACAAGATCGTTTAGTTTAAAAGGTTCCATTAACACCTTGATGCCTATTCATCTGTACAGAATGAACTGGGTCAATCATCGCTTGTATAAATTCTATAGTAAGCGATCCGAATCATTAAGCTGTTTTGTCTGTGCTGAAAGGCCAAACGAATCCCATTCAGATCACCTTGGAACCTGAGGAATGTGTTGTAGAATTTATTTGTTACATTACGAATTCGTAGTACATTAAACTTGGTATGTTTTTGAAGATAGAATGGTACTAGTCGAATAGGCGGTGAACATTGTGAAGAAATCGCTAGATTCTCATCTCTCGCTACGATCTAATGAGTGACGTACGAATATTATATTATCGATAGTTACGAAATAAATTGCAAAATAAACGTAGGGTACTGTAGAACCCCACGGGCCTCACCTGAGG